CATAATAGAAAAGAATATTCCTCCTTGGATGAAAAATTAAAACAGAAAAAGATCCTATTTCGATGGGATAAATTGGAAAGTGTGATTTTTACTTTTAAACAGCAAAGATTTAGACTGAATTCTATTCAGAGATTTTTTAGAAAAATATAAAGGAGAATTGGAAGAGATGGAAATGGAGGTTTTAGAGGGATCTACACAACAGCCACAACAGATGCAAGAGGAACTGAAAGATGATACTGAACTAGGCACTACAAGTGTGGATATTTTAAAATTTTTGGCCTGAGTATGGATTGCAAATGTTTAGCATAGACTATAAATGGAGCAAATGCTCCTCAGAAGAGGAAAAAAGTATTTCATTATTTAAAAAAAAATTAAAGCAAGATATTATTTGCTTATAAGAGACTCATATCAGGAAAAAAGATATAAAATATTTGACCTATAAAATTTGGGGTGAAGAATTTATATCAGCATAGATTAAGAAGAGAAATTGAGTTGCTCTGTATATTAATCCTCAACTAAATTCAGAACTTGAAATTAACTGATGCACATGGTAGATTAGTTGGAGTAGACGTTACATTATATGGGGTTAAAACTATGGTCTTGGGAGTTTATACCCCAAATGAAGATAAAGTGACCTTTAATGGGTTTTTCCAATGACAGTTGGTGTCTGATGGGGGATTGGAATGGAGTGGTTTCTCCCCAACCGGACAGGACTTCTGAGAAAAATATTAAAATTACTCAAGATAAATTAACAAAAGTTTTCTTTGATTTGATGAACAATTTAGAGTTAGTTGATGTATGGAGACAGAAGAATGGTAGTTCAAGAGAGTAGAATCATAAGGTTGGAAGGGACCTTGGAGGTCTTCTAGTCCTATTTTTCAGAAAGACACAGATCTTTTTCAAGAACAGACATGATTTGGATTTCAAGAGACTTGGCTACTAAGGTAGAGATTTTACCAAAGAGTTTCTCAGATCATAATCCTGTGACTCTGGTTTATAAAAGGAAAACTAACTCTTTCAGATGGAGACTACTGTTGTTACAAGAAAAATGAAATTGTTGAGCACTGTAAAAAGAAATTAAAATAATTTTTTGAAAATAATTTAAATAAAGGTACTGACGTGAGAATGGTTTGGGATGCAAGCAAAGCCTTTATTAGGGTTACCTGATACAACATAATTCTGAACTTAACAAGAGGCAAGAGAAAATACAAAATACTTTGGATGAGATTAAAAGAAAAGAAGAAAAAATAAAGAACTCCCAAGGGAATACAAATATCTCCCAACAAATTAAGATAAGCCACAGTTATCTGTGTTAACAATAAGAGAAATGGAAATAAAATTTAAGTATGCTAAACAAATAAATTTTGAATTAGCAAATAAACCAGGAAAATGATTGGCTTACAAACTGCGAAAAGAAAAAGAAAAGAGAATGATGTTAAAATTATAAGAGAGAGATACTGTATTAACGGATAATGTGGCCATACAAAAAACATTTTATCAGTACGACTGTAACTTGTATAAAGGACATGCTATTCCGTTGGAGAAAACAGATGAATATCTCAGAAAACAAAATTTACCAAGGATTACAGAAGAACAAAGACAAATTATGAATGGATCTATAACAACAAGGGAAGTTTCAGAAGCTATTAAAAAGAGTAAACCAGGAAAGGTACCTGGGCAAGATGGACTATCAAGTTTGTATTATAAATGCTTTGAGGATGAATTTTTACAACCATTATAAAATACAATGAATTCTATTTTACAGGATGGAAAAATACCAGAGACTTGGAAAGAGATTAATGTAACATTAATACCTAAGAAAGGACTAACTTGATTTTAGCAAGGAATTACAGACCAATATCATTGTTGGATAATACTACAGACTATTCTTTTGGGACTAATGGACAGGCAATTAGAAAAAAGTCATGGAACTTTGTTTTTATATATGACAACTGCAGCAAGACTATTATATGCTCAAAAATGGAGAGGTTTGACACTACCTACAATGGAGGAATGGCTGATGAAGATGATGGAACTTGCAGAGATGGCTAAACTAACTTCTTTAGAGAAAAAACAATATCTGTGTTTATGGCTGACTAGAAACCCCTTATAGATTTTTTGCGTGAAATGGAAAAAAAATGCACTTATTATGATTTTTTCTATTATCAGAAAAAAACTGATATAGAAAAAAGGGATTTTTTTTTGTAATCATAGCATAAGAGTTAATCTTGTAATTGCACTCATACAGTATTTGCTGCAAAAGAAATCGGAAACCTTTTTCTTTTTGTTCTCTCTGCACTTTTTCTTCTTTTCTTTCTTTGCTTCTTTCACTCTTTATCAATTTGTGTAGTTTTTATGTTCTTTGTAAAACTTTTAATAACATTTATATAAAAATAATAAAATTAATTTTTGAAAAGCTTTTCAAATTTCACTTTTCATTGAATATAACTTGCCCTAAAATTATATTATTGCAATTTTTTTCTTTTTGAAATGAACTTTACCTGACTGGAGTCTCCTTTGCAGCTCTCCGGAATGTCACAATCATTTACAGCTTCTCTGCAGACTACACCTTTAAGTTCAAACTGAAAAAGAAAAATTAGTATGTGAGAACTTCTATATATCTGCAATAGTTTGAATATAAAAGTTATAAATAATATTTTTACATTCAGTTTACTGGAGATTCTCAATACCACTCACATAATTCAAGAAATAGTTCTCAAATGTTCAGTTTAAAGTTTTTAGTCTTAAAAATCAAACTATTGATTGGTAATCTGTATCAATGAGATTAGCAGACAAGGCTGAAATTGTTATTTGTATTAACAGCCATATGTTTAGAATATCTTTGTGGTTACAGTCTTCAATTCTTGTATATATAAATTGTTTAATCATAAACACATTTGTCAGTCTGAAGCTGACTTCATCTGATCTTGACAATCTAAACCAGGTCAGACCTAGTTAATAATTAGAAGACAGATGGCAAATCATTTCTATTTGTCAAGAAAAAGAAAGGCTTTACCTTAAGGTACTCTATATAGAAAGAAAAGGGTTGTTTGTGTGTGTGTGCATGTATTTGTTATTTTCTTTCGGAGCCTTAAAATGTGTACAGTGGAACCTCGGGTTACGAACGCTTCTGTTAACTAACTTTTCGGGTTACGACGAGCTCCGGCCGCAAAATTTTGCTTCAGTTTGCAAACTCCGCCTCAGGGTATGAACAGGACATGCGGCCATTTTCCCTCCCGTGACACGGTCCGCAGCCATTTTTCCGCCCCTGAGACGTGGTCCGCGGCCGTTTTTCCGCCCCTGACACGTGGTCTGTGGCCATTTTCCACCCAACACGTGGTCATAGGGAGGGGGACTCTCTCTCCAAGCAATAGCTGCCTCCCTGTCCTCCACGCCAGAACGGATTAACGGTAATTACATTG